GTGGAGCAGACGACCAAAGTGAAATGGTGAGTCACTTCATTAATGCAGCACCTCAGATACGCTTGTTATCACTGCAAAGCATCGTCTCTCATGTTGTCAACTTTTGTTTTATGATTTCAAATATAATTCATCCAATCAACAATGTAACAAACGTATCAAACTATGTAAAGAGTTTAGTGTTTAAAACATGAGAGGCTGGCATCACAGGAGCAGATCTGTTGCCTCTGGTGTAAATTGAATCTTTTAAAAGTATGTGTGTATGCACCTCTGCCTACATTACGTGCTGCTGACGCTCCTGGTGTAAAGTCCGTGTAAGACCATTTACTAGTAAGATCCGTTTATCATTCATTCATTCATTTTTCAATATAAAACCAAAAATAAGAAAATGAAAAAACGGATAATGATTGATTTTTTCAGTTTTCAATTTTGTGTTTAAATTAATAATGGAAAAAATGGATCACGACCGTTTCCCGTTTTCATGACTTAAACTGTGATGCTGGACTCAACCAGGACTAAACCGTTTTCAGTCCTGGTCTGGTCCCAGTCTCAGTCCTGGTCTCAGTCCTGGTCTGGTCCCGGCGTCAGTCCTGGTCTGGTCCCGGCGTCAGTCCTGGTCTGGTCCCGGTCTCATTCCCGGTCCTGTTCCCGGTCTCAGTCCCGTTCCTGTTCCCGGTCTCAGTCCTGGTCTCAGTTCTGGTCTCAGTCCCGATCTCTGTCCTGGTCCTGGTCCCGGCATCAGTCCTGGTCTGGTTCCGGTCTGGTCCCGGTCTCAGTCCTGGTCCTGTTCCCGGTCTCAGTCCCGGCCTCAGTTCTGGTCTCAGTCCCGATCTCTGTCCTGGTCCTGGTTCTGGAGTCAGTGCTGGTCTGGTCCCTGTCTTAGTCCTGGTCTGGTTCTGGTCTGGTCCCGGCGTCAGTCCTGGTCTGGTCCCGGCGTCAGTACTGGTCTAGTCCCGGTCTCATTCCCGGTCCTGTTCCCGGTCTCATTCCCGGTCCTGTTCCCGGTCTCATTCCCGGTCCTGTTCCCGGTCTCAGTCCCGTTCCTGTTCCCGGTCTCAGTCCTGGTCTCAGTTCTGGTCTCAGTTCTGGTCTCAGTCCCGATCTCTGTCCTGGTCCTGGTCCCGGCGTCAGTCCTGGTCTGGTTCCGGTCTGGTCCCGGTCTCAGTCCCGGCCTCAGTTCTGGTCTCAGTCCCGATCTCTGTCCTGGTCCTGGTCCTGGAGTCAGTGCTGGTCTGGTCCCGGCGTCAGTCCTGGTCTGGTTCCGGTCTGGTCCCGGTCTCAGTCCCAGCCTCAGTTCTGGTCTCAGTCCCGATCTCTGTCCTGGTTCTGGTCCTGGAGTCAGTGCTGGTCTGGTCCCTGTCTTAGTCCTGGTCTGGTTCTGGTCTGGTCCCGGACCTGTTTTAGTCCTGGTTTAGTTCTGGTTCAGTCCGTATGCGGTGTAATGTCCAGCATTGCAGTTTAAGTCACGAAAACGAAAAACGGCCATTATCTGTTTTTTCATAATTCATTTAAACACAAAATCCAAAACTGAAAAACTAATGATTACCCATTTTTTTCATTTTGGTTTTGGAGACAAATAATGAAGAAAACAGTTTTGTTTTTGTTTTTTTTAATTATTATTTTTGGTTTTATATTGAAAAACGAATGAACGAATGATTCACGGATTTAGTAAACACCCAGGAACCACTATGGGACCTACTTGGACGACTGAGGGATTACACAGAAATAAGGGCACAAAAGAATATACTACCATTTGATACTAAAAATCACATTCTGTTGTCTAAATAAAAACAGATATGAGGCAATGTCCACCAGCAATCTGACCTGAAAAAGCCGCTTGGATGGAAACTTTTGTCCAGTTGGAAGAATTGAATTTTTCTTTTGCTAGTAAGCGCCACTGACCTATGAACCAGCGGCCAGTCGGTTTGATTACTGCCAAAGCCACAGTATAAGACATTTTACTCTTTTTACTCACTCCAGTTGTGTAGCTGATTGTAACTGGAGGGGCATAAGACGTACTAACAAACTAGTTCACTGAGGCAATCCTGACTAAAAGGTTAAAAGTGAACAGTGTAACTTTTCTGTGAGGGTCCGTCAAAAGCTTTTCTCCGTGGAGTTGTTATTGCTTTCGCAGCATGATATTAAACTTTTGTATCTTTGTAAAGACCGAACCAGACCGAGTTACAGGTCAGATTTGTGGAGAGGCGACCCCGTTCACAGTCAGAATGCCTGTTTTTCTAAGTATTTTTCAGTGATAAAACCACTTGTAGTTTAAGGTAGAGCTGTTTAATGTGATACTGTGGAACATTCCAGGCAGAACAATGACATATCATTAGAAACAAGCAGGTGAGGGACCCTTAACCAAAATGTTACATAGTGTGTAAGGATGTAACAATAACCTAAATATCGTGATGTCGTATCGTTAAAGTTCTCACAATAATATCATGGGCTATTACAATATATCGAATTACCAGTCTCTTTTTTAAATGAAGAGTTATGGTGCAGCAATAGCTAAACAAAGACAGTGGGAACTACATAGACCATGATCCTTTTCTCCATTTCAGTATAGACTATAATAGATAATAGAAATAACAGTTCGAAACACTTTTAAGTCTTAGTTCTTTAGATTAAATCTTGTCAAGGCATTTTAAGAGAAAAAGTAGAATATTAACAGTTTTGTCAGCCTTCAGAAAATATCGCAATGAATATGGAACCGTGAGATATATATATAGTATCTCAGGGTCTTGTTCACGAGTGAGGGGAGGACGGAAGGTGAGATTGACAGGCGGATCGGTGCAGCGTCTGCAGTGATGCGGTCGCTGTATCGGACCGTTGTGGTGAAGAGGGAGCTGAGTCGAAAGGCGAAGCTCTCGATTTACCGGTCAGTCTTCGGTCCTACTCTCACCTATGGTCATGAGCTCTGAGTAATGATCGAAAGGACGAGATCGCAGATACAAGCGCTCGAAAAGAGTTTCCTCCGCAGGGTGGCTGGGAGCTCCCTTAGAGATAGGGTGAGGAGCTCAGTCACACGGGAGGAGCTCGGAGTAGAGCCGCTGCTCCTCCACGTCGAGAGGAGCCAGTTGAGGCTCGGGCATCTGTTCCGGATGCCTCCTGGGCGCCTCCCTGGAGAGGTGTTCCGGGCATGTCCCGCCGGGAGGAGGCCACGGGGAAGACTCAGGACACGCTGGAGCGACTATGGCTCTCGGCTGGCCTGGGAACGCCTCGGGGTCCCCCTGGAGTTGGAGGATGTGTCTGGGGTGAAGGAAGTCTGGGAGTCCCTGCTTAGGCGCCTGCCCCCACGACCCGGCCCCGGATAAGCGGACAAAAATGGATGGATGGAGATATATATCGTGGAAATATCGTACTGGGAGATTTGGATATTGTTACATCCCTAATCGTGAGCTTCCCCACGATATCGCAATAAATATCGTACCGTAAAGTTCGTACAGTTGCAATATTGTATCGTGCGACTTGGATATTGTTACACCCCTAATAGTGTGTGATAAGTCAGAATGGTGCTATATGACCCTAATACTATGCAGACAGTAAAAATGTTTGCAATAAATATTAATTTATATAAGCTTTAAAAACAGTTAAATACAGTTAAAAGTTCACTAAAATGTTTATTCTTTTTTTATTTTTCAGTAACACTCATATCCGTGATCGACTACTGAGCCTGGGATCCTTTGTTTTGGTGATTGGCAATGCCTTCACCTACAACTTGGGGGATTCCGCATTCTATCTTCTCATTGTATCAAACTTCTAAATGAGAGGAGCAGCACAAAATCACTCCAGTGGTTCTTCTATTTTCAGATGGGGTTTACCAAATGTTTTACACTAATTGTATGTACAATGTTAAAACAATTATCTGTTGAAATAGAACGATGTTTTATTGGTAGGGAAATGTTTGACTGCTTTGTTTTTATATAGAAAAGACCTGCCGTTTTTTGTTGTTGTTGTTTGTTTGTTTTTTTTACGTTGTGGACTCATACTCTGCCATCTTGTCTCCACACACTTTATGAGCCATATGTAAAATACTGTTGATAATATTTGTGTTCCATTGTATTAAACTTCTGCATGAGAGACGAAGCAGAAAATGACTCCAGTGGTTCTTCTATTTTCAGGAGTACAGTACAACATTCCCCAGTTACAGGGGTACAACAAGTGCACTTTTAAACTGAATTCCAACAAATGTACAATAAAACAAACACAATTTGCTAGTACCTATTCATTCTTAAACTAGTGCACATAGACACTTGGAGCGAGGGGGGTTAGGTGTCTGGTCTTGCCCAAGGACACCACAACAGCTTACATCTTTGAGAGCTGGAATTGCTTTGTCACTGAATCTGAATGCTGTACAACGATGTTCATGTCAAGAGCGGGATTCGAACCACCAACCAGCACTCTACAAATTGAGCTACTGTCACTAGGGATGGGACGAGACGCAATTTTCATGAAATGAGACACGAGATTGGATCCATGACAACGAGACGAGATTTTTTAATAATTTGCAATAATCGGATCAATTCACAATTTTGGTCACATGATTTTAAATGGGTTTCTTTTGCCTATAAATATTAACAACCTGCTTTAAACACCAATATCGAGGTGTAAATCTCCACAAAGTAAACCGCTGTATAGATCTGATTATAAAATACTACTATAAGCGGCACAAGATCTCGTCCCATCCCTAACTGTCTCCGATATAGAAATATACTGTAGGCTGTGTCTCATTTCTCCTTCCTCGCTTCCTTCTGCTTGATTCATCTCCTTGATTCTGCAGGAAATGGGTGAGGAAGTTCCGCCCGTAAAGGAGACACAGGGAGGAGAGAGGATATAAACTCCTCCTAATAAAGTTTAATTTGTTTTTCTGATGTCGGCCTCCTGAAGACTCCCTCATGTTTACTTGTTTCACTTAATGTGACACATTTGAGTGACATCAGGGAGGGAAATCAAGGAGAAGGAAGCGAGGAAAGAGAAATGAGACGCGACCATAGACTTACTTGTGAGACTTCTTGGCCTCTGTGCCCCCTGGTCCTGATCCGCAGTCGTGAGCTTGTATGATGAAGGTGTATTCTTTCTGCTGCTCACAGTCCACCAGCCCGCGCGCTCTCAGCTGACCCTCTCCGGACGTACCGTTCAGGACCACTGCCTCGAACGGGGCCTCTGCTCCGTGGATGGTGAAAGCACAGATCTCCCCTGAACAGAAGAGAAGAAAAGAGGGGAAGATCGTCAGGGCTATGGAGAATTGGTGGGTTTCTGAAGATGTACGAAAACGTGGGCTGAATGAAGCTCACAATGCCACGAGTTATATGAGTGAATTTGGATAGGGAGTTATTTATGGACAAAATGGCAAAACAAAAACACCAGGATCACATAGAGCGGGTTAATACAAACATTTATAGACCAAAATGACGAGACTCATAGCAGCAGTTACAGAGAGAGGTGACAGTTTTTTAATATAAAGTGAAATGGAGCCAGAGTTATTGCAAACAGAATCACGGCCATGCTCACTTTCTATTTGGAACACGGCAGCAGAGGCGGCACTAACATTAGGCAAAAGTAGGCGGCTCCACCCTAATTCAAATAAATAGAGATGTGCGTCTCTCAAGAACAATGGGGAAAAACAGACAATAAATATATAAATAAAAAAACTAAATTGGTGCATTATAGTGAGGGCCCCAAACTTAGGTTTATCTAGGGCCACCCAAATCCCTAACTCTGCCACTGCACAGTGGACCATCAGAGGAGACTACTGCATCCATGTCGGTTATGTAGTTATTGAGTGTAGTCAGTTACAGAAATAATTCAGTCCAAGATTTACTGAATTTAACTTTTGGATATTTCAAAGTACAGTTTTATCAGCTGCTGGGTTTCAGATGACATCACAACATTCTACAGGCCAAAGTTATATATTACAGATAGGGGGAGTTAAAATTCATATTCTTCTTCTTTAGTCTAGTCACTAATATAAATGATCAGGTTCAACATTTGTACATTTTCCTTTGGGATATTTAGTAGAAGGTAATCCATAGGAAAAACTGTGTCTCCTAGTTTTCATATTACAGCAAACATCTCAATTTTAATCATACACATTTTAGCTGTATTAAATATTAAGGAAGTGCTAATAAAAACATTTATCTAATCATAACGAACATAAACTGACAAGCAAAATTATAATAAAAAACACAAATGGAAATGACCCAAGGAAATGGAATCTTTGGGATACATTTCCTTATTGATAATAATAACTGATATATATATATATATATATATATATATATATATATATATATATATATATATATATATATATATATATATATATATATATATTTATTTTTTTAACATAAGTTAAACCCATCATTATTAAGTTCCACAGTAATCAAAATACTTCCATATCAAACAGTATGAGTCATTTCAGTTAGGTGATAATATGCAAATCAGTTATTAAACTCCATCTCTATATTTGTTCTTCAAGTTCAATTTAATAAAACCTGATTTGATTAAATGTTGACACAGACAAAGTGAACGTTGAATAAAACAAAAACAAATGTTCTTCTCTGAAAGTTAAACACAGAATCGTACTCCAAACGTTCCTCACACAAAAACAAAAATGCAAAAAAAAAAAAAAAAGGATTGAAAACCTATTAAAGGTCCTACATTACTTGAAATTGACTCTTGTCAAGAATTTCATTCACACATGTTTGAGTGACCTTTTATTATTAGTACGTCTACATCTCATTCCACCGTGGGATGTCAGGGAACCATGGTTTTCAAATTAACAGCTACTTTTACCTTCTGTTCCATAAAGATGGGCAGTTCCAGGGCTGAAATGATACAAATAATTCTAATGAGTGGCGGTTCTAGGATTTTTCTGAAACAGGGGCCATTGAGGGGCCACATGTTACATTCAGGGGCAAAGTACAAAGAACATCCAAGCACACAAATGATTAATTCAGTATGGCGCAAATACATTTGGACAGTTATCTAGTACCTTTTTTCTAATGCAAATAAAACTTAATGAAGCAGTAAAGTTTGTAATAATTTTGTCATTTATTTTTACTGTGTGCATAAAGGACACAATACATAAAACAATCATTAAATGCAATCATGCTCACGCACGCAGGCACACGTGCACACTTACATAATGTAGACCTGTGCACACACACACACACACACAAACGGAATCCGACTCTGTGAATTGAAACATTCAAGTGTTTCAAGCAAAGACCATATATAAAAAAAGCCCTCCACATGTCTGTTTCTTCTCCTATTAAGTTGTATTGACGCAATAGGTCTACTGCCACCAAGAGTTTGGGGGTGAGATTGCATCAGTGATCATTGAATTCTCCAGTTGTTTTTCTTGTCAGTTGATTAACAGAACAGGGGCCATTCAGATTAGAGATGGGGTCAGGCCCCCTGTGTCCCCCTAGAACCACCCCTGTCTATGGCTTTTAAAAAACACAGTGGAGCACTTCCTGTATTAGTACATGGCATCCCAAAGTGGAAGTGTGTTTTATTTGAGAGAAGCCTAAATATGGTTTGTGCATGGTTTGTGCGTTAAGCATGTGTGAATGAAACAAAACACAACTCCAGGTTTGTTTTTGATGTGGAAACAATATTATAAGAGAGTAATATGGGTGCTTTAATTGATCTAAGTCAGGATTAAATGCTCATATCATTGCACTAATCCAATACAACTCTAATACTACATTGAATTACTGCACCAAAAAAGAACGTTGTTACATTTCAGAATTTTCTTATGAAGTTTTCTTAGATTCAGTATGGACTTTTCAGCATTGTACTGTAGCAAGTACAGTGATTCTTTTCTTTTCTATTTCTCATAAGCCGCTCTATGCAGGCTTAGATAAACTGATGGCAATAATAAAAAAAATTCCTTTTTAAAAATACCTGTCTGTCGAAACCAACGTATGTAATTCTCAAAACAGTATAGAAATATCTCCTATCTCTACAGTGAATCTGACCTTTAAAAACACAGCTTTATTATCCATCTCTATCTAGACAAAGTCACTTCACTTGTGCCTCAGTTTCATTTGTACAGAATTAGAAAGTTCTCCAAGAGTGAGTTTTGAAATGAAAAATTGAACTGTTTGGTTTAATCCTTTGTTACAAGACAGCTACTGTATTTTCTTGTTTTTTTCTATAAAAACAAAAATAATCCTTTACAAACTGTAGGAAAAATCAGTTTTTGCACCTCGATGTAAAGAGTGTCTATATTGTGTTGTGTGTAAGGTCTTCATAAGTCTTATCTTAGCGTCAGATACAAAACTAAACAGGCTTTCTAATAATAGCAATTCCCAGTAGTCTGCTTTCTCTATAAACTGTTTGATTGTTTCTTTGGTGCAGTGAAAGACAATGTAAAAAAAGTCGAATCATAAGGAACATGAACACAACTCAAGCTGAAAGGCAATAGATGATGTAAATGTTATACTGCAGTTTATCTGAATGTCCTAACTTTTAATACTCTTTATTTATTTTAATGTTCCTAGAGTCACATTTAATTTGTATTTTGCTTTAAACACAATATATTTTCTCTAAAATTGACCTAACAAAAGTAGATCAGCAAAATCAAATTTTAGAGCTATTAACCATATTACAGTCATTTCCTCTTCTCACTTACCTTCTCACAGTAAATGGTCACATTTATTATTCCATCTTCAATGCACTAAAAGCATTTTGTGTATATTTAGCATGATTCATGCTTGATTGAGTTATCTTTATGCTCCTGTATTCAACACATCATCGCTCAGATCAACCCCATTTTCTCCACTACTGGTGCACAGCCAGTGTGCTTTACTCTCTTAGTTCTCCAATTTTGTGTTCTCAATTGGTGATACCATAGAACTTAAGAAATAAATAAATTTACCCCCTAGCATGATCCCCGGCCATCAAAGGTGCTGACTCTGCATGGGTCGTGTTTCTTTTAGATGAAAATTACGATTTAAAACGTCCAAATTATAACAATGATAACCACATAGCAGACACAAGCACAGTGGGCCTAATTCATGAATCTTTGCTTACAATTTTTTCGAAGTTTTCACATGAAGAAAATGCTGAGAGAACTCTGTACCAGATTCACAGAGCGTTCTTAAGCAGCTGAATTCCTTTTTAAGTGACAGTTGCGCTGAATTCACCAACACCCAGCTACAAACACCTCCACGCTCATTTACATTTCATTTACATAAAAAATTAATATGTATTTGATTCGAAACGCCCTCTGAACTTCTAAATATGGCTAATATGGGTTTGGTATTATGATGTGTGAAAGTGGGAGGGAGAGAATGATGAGGACTACAGGCTACGGCTGTTGTACAGTTTCAGTAGCGATTCCTAATGTCCAGACTCACATGAACACACTCAGGGCGGGAATATTTAAGTCATACGTGTATTGAAATAATCAGGCACTTTCGTCATATTTATTGCACTTTCCACAATCGTGGACCCGCGGTAAATAGCAAGGGAGAGGGACTGTGTTAGGGGGTTAGGGGTTCATGGGGGTCAGGAGGGTGATCGGGGTGTTGAGTCGCGGAGTTGCTCTCCATATGGGCCCAGTGCTCTCCATACGGGCCTCTGTCACAGCCTTGCGCAACTCCTCATAAATGTTATTCGATCAATAATATGTATATAGGAAATAATTTAAGAAAATATAGAACTTACGATCATGAAGTAATTTCATTGTTTTGTTGCATTATCAGAGTAATAATATTCTAAAACAGTACAATTTTTATTCTTACGAGTGCTCCTGACCATTCGAAGGATTTGTTCTTACAGAAGAACATTTTCAGTTTTGTGAATACCAAACATGTTCGTAAGAAGGCCTAAGAACGTTTCCTGAATGAGGCCCGACATTCTCACAAAAACACAAATCAGTTTTACACCATACAATGTATTTGAGAACAAAATAACCTGTTTATGTTAGTTATTTTGTTGGATGAAAACCACGTGGACTGTGTTTTTCTCTCATGGTTCGACATCAGAGTCATTGAATGGACCAGCTAATTCCTCACTCATGTTTAAATCAATACCTTTTCTCTTAGCCCGTGTTTTCCTTTATGTAGTAGCAGTAGTAGTAGTAGTATTGAAGTGAATGTGACTGGTGACATTAGCACAGAGCATGTAGAGCTGTGTTAGCACGTTCCTTCAGACTGATACAAGACACAATGAAAGCACTTAGA